ATAATTCAAAGAGGAAGCAGCACCGAGAACTGACTATAAGAAGTTGCGTTCGTCAGTAAAGGCAGATTTTTGGTGCGATGATTGCTCATTAAAATTTTCGAGCCAATTAAATACTTAAATAAGTTGGTGCACTTTACGGCTTTTTGGGCAATTCTGGGAATGTCAACTACAAAAAAGATATTGATACTTTGACGCAGCAAGAATGATTGTATGTCTTATGTTATAAGCAAAGGTTTGCTGAGATGGATTCATATTCACGGTGAAAAAAGGGGGATGGCTGGGATGTGAACTAAGTTTTCAAAATGCTCAGAGGCAATAGATGATAGAGATAGAAACACAAAGAGTCACTTGAACTGCACTGAAGCTACTTTAGTTTCACTGTTCGAAATAATCTAAAACCTGAATGCGTCAAATCAGTGCCTGGTGTAAACATACACAGTTGGCTCTGTCACTCCGCCACACTTCAGGTTTAACCCACCAGACCAGAGATGCGTCCTCATGGTCTTGCACGAGCTTATTTTACAGTAAACAATCAACTCTCCTGTGTATCCTTCTCCACGTAGCTCGTGCACAAACAAGTTTAAAAAAAAAGTCCAGAAACGTACTCTAAATAAAAAGGAATATGGGAAATACAAGTGTGTCAAAATTTCCAAATGATATACCATCTCACAGCGTCTTCTGGAATCATAGAATCCTACAGCACAGATGCAGGCCACTCGTCCCATCATACCTGTGCCGGCTCTTTAAAAGACAAGTCCCACTCGCCCCCACCCCGCTCTTTCCCCACAGCCTTGAATTTTTTTTTTCTTTTCAACTGTACGTACATCCAATTCCAGTTTGAAAGATAGAATAGAAAATTAATCATTATCGTCCATCCACTGCCTCTAATCCAAACGTGCTTGGAGTGCGATCCTCACTGTAATCCCATTCGATAATAGATGTTCTTTTTAATCTAACGTTTAGCAAGCTAAAAACAATGCGTTTCATTTGACGTGGGCCTTCAGTGAGGTTGGACAGGCAGCTGGACAGCAGGTGCACTGAAGCCACATGACCGGGTAATGGAGTAACAGCTGGTACCTCAAGACACCTCCGCCAACTGTGTGAGCCAGGACTGGGGCAGGTGCATCTAACCGAACAAGCCAGGAGCACTGATTGAACTTCAGTGACAAAAGGAGGTTTCATTAAGTGAAACATGATTAGAGCGAGGCAAGATCATTTCCTGCGCAAGGTGATACAGTCGAAAGGACAATTTGTCTTTTATAGCCTCCTGTTTGTCACTTTGATCTCACCTTTATTGTTTGCAATCAGCACTTTTTAAACTCAAATAAAGCTCCTCGAAACATCCAGGGAAATAGCATTTTCCAACCAAGGTTTTCACATGAAAGCCATAAAGCCACAAAGGGTGCAAATTAACATGGTGCACAAGAAATGAGAAGCAAATGTTCATTCTGTTTTTATAAATTGCAGAACGGTGGGGGTGTAGAGAAATTAATACTTTGCTTACATAGCAACCACATAAAATGTACGCAAAACTGAACACCAGCAAAGTTTACTTCTGTAGGACTAAACGATAAATGAACCGTGCATTTTGTTATGCCTGTCATGTCATCAAAACGCAGTGAAGTGACTGTGAATTTATAGGTGAGGGTGGCAGCCAAGTTCGCACACATCAATGTCCCACAAACGGCGATGAAGTGAATGATAGATTTTCATTCATTCGGTGGGGGGGTGGGGGGTCTGTGGGCCGGGACACCTGGAGAAATTCACTCGTCTTTTCAAATTGTGCCATGAGATGCTTAACATCGACCTGAACAGGCGCTGATGGGATCTCAGTTTAGCATCTTGTCCAAAGAATGGCACCTCCATCAAAACAGGGCTTCCCCCCCACCCCCAGCATGGATTAATTTATTTGTTCACTCAGCTGACAAACTTTCCCACCGGCCTGTATTTTAGAAACATTTCATAGTTGTATTTCAATGCTTCTTATTTGCGTACAAGAGCAAAATTATTGCAGCAGCAATTTGCTTCTTTTAAAAATAATTCTTATGTTTAAAAAAAAATATCTTTACCTGGAAAGGGTGAACATGTGTCTTGGGTTTGATTGATAAGAACGGGCAGCAGTGTTTTATCATGTAGCCAAGAATTCAGGTAAATGTCAGAGTATGCACAGCTGCAGACTTGTGCAGGACCTCAACTGATCAGCAGGTGAACAGATAGGAAGCTGATAGCACAAGCAATAAATCTCTCACTCGCTCGCTTTAGGAAAACAGTGGAGCAATGTTTTTAATTACACTGGGGCTAAAACGTCCAGCAGGTATTAAACATTATGTGTTAACATACAGTATCTTCAACACCAGCTGTTGCCTCCACTAGGCGGATGACTTAACCCTTTAAAGTTAACATTTTGCCTCCCATTATGAATTAGCAGCAGTTTGAATTACAAACGTTCAAACAAAATTCCCTTAAAGAGAGTTAATGGCACAAGAGCAGAACCCAGAGACCACATTAGATAATTGAGATACAGTGACAAGCCACAAACAAACTTCTGAGTTAAATAATGATCCCTTTTTTTCTTACAATGCAGCATTTCAGTTTGTGGGATAGACATTATTCCATTTGATCCATCACCTGAGTATTAACAAAGAGCAACGTTGGCTTAGGGTTTCCTTATAGCTCCATCTAAAGCCCCAAATTATCCTAATTGTTCTTCCCAATGGCTCATTAACCTTCACCTTAGTGAACCTGTCAAGATAAGAAATTCTCCTTTTCTTCCTGCCACCAATGCGCACGCTGGCAACCTACAACCCAACACACCAAGAAAGGCATTTGCTTGTGGGACACTGCTGTGCGCAACTGGCTGCCATATTTTGGCCACAAAATACACGGTCAATCCACTTTACAACATATTCTGTGAAGCTCTTTTGAGATGTCTCAATGACGTGATGAGTCACTTGTAACAAATGCAAGTATTATTATTTATTATTATTACAGTTGGGGTCAGATCCCAGCTGAAGTACAGGGCCCAGTCCTTACGCACTGTTTATATAAACCTTTGTAACAGTCACTTCACCACAAGCAATGACAGCAATTTGTTGGGAAAGATGCACTGCAAATCAAGGGCTTTCAGCATCGCTGCAGCATAATTGGAGATGCCAATGGATTGCTATTCCACTGCCAACATTATTTTGATTTTAAACAAAAAAAACACACAAGACCTTTCGAGCAACATTTTTTCCAGTGATAAAGAGCCGGTCACGTGAACAACTCTTCAAATTCCATCTTTGTTAAAAAAAAGATTATTTCCACATTCAGTTGCATATGTGCTTCAGAGCTCAAATGGGAAGAGGTTTTTTTTATATATAAAAGCGGCTAAAGTAACAAGCATGAAGTCTAAATCCAGCTTCCGGCTTTGCTGTTAGAATTGATGTGGCTTGCCGTCTAATGAGGGCAGCAATCACTCTATCCCTCGAAGGATGCGGTTATCTTTAAAGAGGACGGGGAAAAAAAGAACTCAGCGTGCAAGAGGATTCAGGGTATCAGCAATGGAAGTTCCGAGGAAAGGTTAAGGAAGTTGGACTGGTTGTCTCTTTGAAAAAGAAGCTTTGAGGTGACCCAATTGAAAGCAAGGTTATTAAGGGGATTAACAACTCCAATTCAGGCCAACTGTTCAGTACAAGCAAAGGGTTCAAGTATCAAGGGATGCAAGTTAAAAAATTAGAGAGTTAGGAGAGAGAGAGAGAGAAAAAAAGAGACATCAGGCAGAAACACAAAGGGTGATAGAGTGGAGTGATAAGTTACCAAGGGAAAGCCATTGAGGTGAACAGTATAAATTGTGTCGAGGAACAACTGAGCTAAATTTATGGAGACGAAAGGGGAATACGGTGAGAAGTTAGCCAGGACGTGCTGCGATTGATCAGAAAAATAAATAATTGTTGGGTTTCTATGTAGTTTCCAAAATATCTCATCTTTTGGGGCTATTTTTTATTTTTTTTAAAAAAAGGACTTTTTGAAAGGGTTAAAAAAAAATAAACTTTTCAGAACCTACCACAGATAGTCCGAAAGTAACATTCTCAAACAAGCAAACAAATATGGATTTAAAAAGTAATGAGACCAATGTAATTCCAGCCGGTTGATCCGCGAAGTACATTTTGGTCACTGAGAATTGTTTGCCTCCTTCAAGACGCGTCTCAAGATCCTTCTCTTCAGTCACCCTCCTACCCCTACCCTCACTCCACCTCCTGATGCCAACCACCAGCTCCGAACAGATACCTGACTGTCCAGTGCCTTGGGACGTCCTCCTGACCTGAAAGGCGCGACACAGACGCGATTTGTTTTTTTGTCAGTTTATTATGCCCATTGTTTACCAAAATTGGACTTAAAAAGTAAAGAGCAGGAATTGAGTGTAATTATCATCGCACATTTTTAAAACTGGTAAATGTTCAGGAACAAGAGCGTAGTAATTACATATTCTAAGCTACTAAACATTCAGCCTTGGCATTCCCCCTGTAAAACAATATACATCACACACACACACGCGCACACACACACATTCGCACGGGTCCAGTGACATCTACTGACCATACTGTGCAAATACAGAAATTGAAATCTATTAAACCGCTTCAGTGGTGATCTAAGGATCACCATGAAATGTGCTATCATTCCACAACAAAATAAAGTACCCCACCTGTGGTGTAGTCCCAAGTCGTTCAATTCCGACTCACTCCAAGCAAGCTTTCACAATCCCTCTCCCATCACCTTCTCTACCTCAACCAGTGCTCATGTTTTTATACTCCAATCCTGCTTCAGTCCCATCGGGTCCTTAACACTGATATCAATAAACCCAACGGTTAACACCTGATCTCAATAAACCTGAGTATATTCCAGAGTAATTGTCAAATTGGCCTCGAATTAGTTAATTTTGTTAACCTGAGCTTGCAGGAACGTTATTACTTCAACAGTCAGGACGTTAAAATTCACACAACTTCCAAGCAAAAAACCTGTAATGTTTTCAAACTTTAATACAGGAAGAAAAAAAAAATACATTTTTATAACATCTCATCACACTAAAAACGTCTCAACAAATTGAAACGTCTCAAAGAGATTTACAATAATTACTATGAAGTCCTCAAAAGTCTTCGGAAAGTGGATCGCTCCCAAGATTTAAACATTCAAGTTTATTGTACAAAAAAATGCAATAGGAATCTGATAAAAGTGCACATCAGAAGTTCTATCAAGCTACTACATCATGAATTCTACAAGTAAAGTGCAGGTCACAACATAATAAAAATTAAAAACTGCTTATTTGGAAAATCTAACTCAAGGATATTTTCAGTTAAAACTGCATCATCATGCAAAACATGAATTTGTTTTTAATACATGTATATATATATATACACACACACACATACAACAATTAACTGGCGAGATCGCAGGCCAGAGATTGAGCCAAGTGTAAAAAGATCCAAAGTGTAAATGAAATAAAAACTGAAGTTTAGAGCAGTATTGATACATGAAGTGTCCAGCGAGTGCATTATAATGCACCATAGTAAAGGAACATTACTGTACCCATCTCTGGACCAGATAAAGGACACAAGTTTGAGTGAACTCTGGGCAGGGTGAAGAGGTTAAAATTATAACAGATTAAATGCTTTTAAACACTATTTTACAACCATTTGTTTGGAAGTGCAATTCCTGATAAATTTGGGAAACTTCATTTTATATAAAAAAACACCATCTGTGGTATTAATGAAAAACTGAATGTAGACAGCAATCTCGTTAAAAACACTGGAGAGGCCATAGGTCACAGCCTATAGAGTGTGGCAACAGTGTCCATGTAAAAAAATATATAGTTAGCCTTATTCACATCATAAGCGGGTTTGAAAATGTGAGTGACCAACACAAATTTAAAACTACAAATATTAGAAAAATATCACATTTAATGTACATTTTCCAAATCACATTCACTAAGAAACTTGATTCGCTTAATAATTTCCAAATGTCAAATTTTGCCTTAAAATTATCTGTCGGCTACAAACTATTAAGTGTTTGAAGCGAGGTGCATACGTGCGTTAATGGGTGATTGAAGGACAATTTTGCAGACGAACAGTAAACTACAGTGTTCCCAGAGTTGAGATGCCAGTTATAGAGTGAATATGTCACAGAACGTCTCTGAAAGTGTGAAAGACCCAGAGGAAATGAGGGATAAATGTGGTATTGCACAAATGTAACCCAAGTAGATGTGGGTTTAAATCCATCAAAAACTACAGCTCTAAACCCTTTATGACGAACAGTTCATGCATTTCTTCCCTCCCCTTCACCCATTTAAGTCAAAACACGTTGGTGTCCGAAAAAAAGTGGTAATTACAAGCTGGACACAGAACACGATTTTAAAACAAGGTAACAGAATATTTTTTTTAGTAAAAAAGCATTCATGTGCAGTATGTAGCACTGCAGTATGTAGTAAAGGCTTTTCCATTCTACCAGTAAGCCTGAGCAATTTACAGTATTGTTGTTCAAGGGATTTCTTTCTCAAATACCAATTGCCAACCTTAGTGATCACCAATCGAGTATTTATACCTAGTTCAGTGGATTCTGACTCTCAAAGGCCTCGGCAAGGAAACAAATAGTCTCCGGTTACTCAATTCTGACTGAGGTACAATTTACGTGGGTCCTCGGGGTAGGTGGAGGTGTGGATGCTGTTGCAATTTCTCCATCAATTCTTCCTCAGTTGGTTCCTTTAAATCATCTCTGTTGATTAATTCGATATATTATTTCAGACACGTCATCATTACAGCAGTTACAAGAATTCAAAGCTCACAGCTGTAGCAATCCTGGTGACTTTTTGTGCGAAACCAGAATGTATGGCCTTCAGATAGTGTTTACAAAGTACTGAAATACTCAAGCTTTCATTGCACTTCACGCGTTTATAGAAAAGTCAGGAAAATGCTAATTAAGAAGTGGTACTTCATTTAAAATGTAGAGATCTGCGGAACACCTCTGAAGTGCATCAGCTAAGTTGGTGCTCCGCGTAAGGCAGACAATAAAACTCACCTGAACATATCCTCCACAGTCATCCGATATTCTGATTCTTGTTCGGAAACAGATGAATGGAAGCTTTGACCCCACTTGTGAAGAAAGTTCTGTTCACAAAAAGTACAGTGAGAAGGCTAATTTAACATCTCCTGCTTATTTGATTTTTTTTAAATACAATTTCCCATGTGTAAAACCCCAAATCCATTCGACTTTTTAAAAAGGTATTTTCCTTCCTGCACTCCCACCTTTAAAGTTTTATGTATCTGTAGCCCCATATCTATTGAGATCACTTTCTCTGAAATACCAAATGCACAAATAAAAGAATCCAAACAGTAAATTGTTTTTTTCTTTCCTTTGAATTTCTAAACGGCACACTGACCTCAAGCATCAATGCCACAAAGATGTTCACCCAAATGACTGAGGACACCAGCCACCAAAATACAAAGTAGAGCTTTGACCACCTGGAAGATTAAAAAGATTAACTTTGGACAGTAAACATGATGCCATCATTACCAACCATGCAGTGAATAGCATTCCCAAACACAGAAGAACACAATTGGTGAAGCTATTAGCAGTCAACAAAACAAAATGAGCATTAGTAAGAGTGCCATAAAATTAGTTTCTTTGTGGTTGTTTGTTGGCATTTTTGTCAGATAGCCGTAAGCAGTATTGATCACAGAAGTGTAGATTATTGAACAGTTATCTTGTTCTTAAATCCAACCATTAATCTGTATTCAGATTGCTTGTACTATCAGTCCGTGGACTATTTGCTGTCAAGAGTCACCCCTGAACAGCAATGACTTTAGTTCTCAGGCAATGGGATTAACTCTACAGAGGTCAGGAGCCCTGGACTATCCCACATTCCACTTATTACTGGATGTACTTTCAAAGAGCAGGTGCTCAATACAAAACCAACTACATAAACCAACGGTACAGAGGTTTTACCCAAAAGCCTTCACTTACGGAGTTGTGTATCGAGAGAAAACATCCAAGAAGACTTGCCAGTTATTTACCACCATGAGATCCCACAGAGTGACCAACGCAGCCTGCCAAGGAACAAGGGACAATCAACAAGGATTCTTCACATCACAAAGGGATCCCATTATTTCAACCTCAAAACATTTTATGGTCTTGCCCAAAGTTTGCCTTGGTTCCTTTTTTAAAAAAAGCAAAGAACTTACAGCAAAGTCATCGAAGTTGTTGGGCCAATACTGCATCTGCTCATAGGTGCCACATGTCACATTCTCCAGGAAAAAGCTTTCAATTAAACTGCAAATCAAGTGAAATGCCATTTACAGCATCATTAATAGAATACAGCAGTAATTGGATCAAACCAATTATTAACTCAGCACAAAGCGATTTAAAAATCCCATTTTATGTTGTGTCGGACTTTACACTGTACCATGGGATGTCCTTTGTCCATCAGGAAACTCCTCATCAACATTTCAGTGTGCTAATGTTTGGCACAACAAATGCATCAAGCCTTAGCATTTGATACAGTGCCTTATCACATCGAGAATTTTAAAGGTTATACTATAAAGTGGTGCAACTGTGAACTTTGTGGGAGAAACTTGGTAGTCAATTTGTGCACAGGAATGTCCCACAAACAGCCACGGAGTGACTGAGAGCAAAGTTGCGTTTACATCCCAGACTGAAGCTTACCTTGCGTTTGTCGAGTTACGAGTTGGAGGAGGTGGGATTTTGTCTTTAAACAATATTATACCAACAATCGCAAAAACATAATAGGCAACCTAAAACATAGAGGGATAAAGGTAGGTCAGAAACAAACAACCATCCATCCTTTAAACCTTGGTATAAATGGGGCCTTTCTTCCAACCATTTCCTTCCCTACCCTCATCTTCTCTCCTGAAGCCATTTGACTTAATTTTCCTCAAAGCCCAACCCAATTTTGTCCTCATCCAAAGTCCACACACACTTGCAGTCAGGCCTGGAAATCTTAGTTGACTTTCCCCTCCCTAGCTCAGAGAAACCAAGGCCAATTGAAGAACCCCTTGTGCTTCGTGAACCTTGAAGACTAAGCTGTTTACATCTCTAATACAGCAACAGGCTTTAGAAGGGAAAAAAATGATCTGCTACTTACCACAAGGATTCCAACAAAAGCTTGGAGATTCTTTACAAGAGCAAACAAACTCCCTGTTACCACCCCAATCAACTGGAAGATGGAGAAAGGTCATCAGAACAGATCAAGATATCCACAGAGTCATAATTCACCCCAGTATTTTGTTTTAAATTACAAAAGAAAAACTTGAGAAATCCTTCACATTTATATACATACATTTATATGCTGAGCCCCTTTCGAGGATCTCACAGCATTTCACTGTGATCAAGACAGATTTGTAATAAGAAGAAAGGAAGGAAATAAAACAAGGACCTAATTCACAGTCAAAAGGGGCTCAAAAGATCCTTTACACATTATCGGAAATTCTGGCCAGGTAAAATTCCATGGAACGAACTTGAGGGAATCTGGCATCACCCACCTTGGTGTTTGAAATTATCCAAATGAATCGAAAAATAATCAGCATGTTAGCCAAGCGAGCGGTTTCCCACAGAGAGAGACAGCCGTTTAATTCAGGATTCCTGCAAAGGGAAAAAAAAAAATGTTCACTTCACTGTCCAACTGTGAGTAGTCAATGTGCAGGTTGAAAGAACCCGCAATTAACGAGCATTAATAACAATAATACTTGCATTTGATGTAGCACCTGATCACAGCTACGAGACGTCTCAAAGAGCTTCACAGAATATACTGTAGAGTGAATTGACTGTATATTTGTGGCAAAAACTCAGCAGCCAATTGCACACAGCAGTGTCCCACAAACAGTCGTGGATTAAAGAGTAACTTGCAGCTGAAGTGGATTGCTATAATGCTACACCACACCACTGAGCACCTATAGAGAGACTTCTATTCTTGCCAAAGATTTGAATCTGGCTGATTATCAGCCACTTGCAAAACAATTCCTGCGATACATCCTCAGTGATGCAAAATACCACCTGGTTTCTGCCCAAATGGAGACACCTTTATAAAGGTCCAGCCACGTACGCAGAAGACGAAAAAGGACCTGAAACAGTGAGAACCCAACCCTCCCATTCGTTTCGCTCGTTCAATATGGAAAGTCCAGGGTGCCATGAAACCTTAAAACAAACCAAGAGAAGAAGGTAACTAGAACGGGTCCTTAAATCCCTCACGCATGTGGTTTTTGGAATCGAGATTATTTGAATTAGTGTGCCACAATTTCAGGGCACATTAACTACCCACCTCTTAAGCACGGAAGCACAGTACTGAAAGCCATTATATAGGGTCTCCCCTGTATGAGCAATTACAAGCCTCAGTGCTGCTGTTAAGAAGCGATCAATGGTTCAGGTTGTGTGCAATATTTAAACAGTTTCCAATATTACAACTGGGCAGCCAGAGCTCAAAATCACATCAAGTCAAAGTGCAAAATTGCAGTTTAAATAGGCCCACAATAATAACGACGACAACGACAAAAAGTCTACAAGGGTCAAATACTTACCACCCTTGATGAGGAAATCCGTAGTGTACAATGGATGAGACTTGCAGAACCTGAAAGTTAAAAACAACAATCGCAATTTATTTGAACAGTTGTTGGTATTAATCCTATTCAATATTTTAAGACAATAACATTTCAGACAATTAATTTCATTTTAACATGAGATCAGTGAGGGGCACAAATGTAAAGGTGCGGAAATCAGATTCCGATCTCGGGTGAAGGACAGCAACCCCAACAATTCAGCACATCCCCTGCACAGATGGTCAGCCTAGACTCCGATTTCAAATTCCTAATGTGGGGGTGGAACCCACAATCTTCTGACCCAGGTACAAGGTGAATGGACGTGAATGCTACCACCTCCTCTAAATACCAGAGGCATAAGCTAAATGTTCCAGGGGGAATCAAACAAACAATAATAATTCCTAATAATCCGTGCATTTATCATGTCTTCGAGACATCTCAAGTTCTTCACAGAATATTACTGTAAAAGTGAATCAACTATACATTTTATGGGCAAAACCCAGCAATCAATTGTGCACAGCAGTGATCCATAGATAGTCGTGGATTGAGTGTCCAAATTACTATTATTTATTTTAAAAGGATTATCACCCCCGGAATACCAATCAGCCAATCGACTAACAACAGAGGTCCTGCTTATTGTTTGATAAACAGAGTGGAGTAAGGAAACTTGCACGGTGAGTGCTCAAATCAATTCACTACAGGACTCCACAAATATGGAGTCTTGAGCACCACAAGGTTATTTTACTGTGCGAACACCCAGAAGCATGTTAAAAGCCAGCGTTTTCTAGCAACATAAACTTACCACCAGTATTACAGTTAATAATCCATCGATTTTATTGCTATTGTACGAGATGTAACCTTTAACGCCATAAGCAAAGATTTTCAGAGCCATTTCCAACATATAGTAGAGGACAAATAAATTATTTCCAATCTAGAAAATAAAGAACATATTTTTTTTAAAAATAAACTATTTCAGTCAATAACAAAAGAAACCATTGCAATAATAATATTCACTGCATTTGATATAGGACCTTAATACATCACCAAAACTTTTCACAGCGCTTCACAGGACTTACGGAAGAGTGTAGCAACTGTGTGTTTATAGGCAAACTCAACCCACAAATAATGAATGGAAAGGCTTACCCCCAAATAGAACTCATCGCGGTCATCAACAGACTTCTCTGCATCAAGCACCAGAGTAATCTGTTAAAACAGTTCAAATCAGCTATGCACACAAAACAGTCATTCTCACCAATACATGTCATTTTTAATTAGACTGAAATGTGATTCCAGATTGTCTAAAACATTATCCCCTCCCCCCACATTATTGATAACCTTGCCCAAGTATCCATCCCTCCCTTAGATCCCTCGACTGATTTCTCCTTGATGGCTTTCTGGGGCAGTATATTCCAGATTTCTGGTCTACACAAGATGTTTTGTAGGCTTTGATCTCTGGAGCTCACTCACACTCATCCATTTGGCCCCCCGACACTTGTCCAATTCTCGATCAAATCCCTTTTCCATTTGCAGTTGTTTTGGTATCACAAATTACAATGATCGGGAACTTTTTAAGTCCCCTCTTACTTCCATATGCCTGGTGTTACACATAGCAAGTCAAGATTTCCAATAGCCGAACCAATCGAGAGTTTTACGGGAGACATGAGGGTTTCGACTAAATGCGGCTACTTACAAAAATGCAACCCAGGTTCAGGGTCACCATCAGGTTTCCAAAACAGTCACTGTAGTAATGGCTAAAGACAAACTGAAGCTTCTGTAGGAATTCGGGCCGATATGTTGGCTTTGGCGGGTGCTAAAGTGAGAAGAGCAGGTGCAAAGATGCAGGTGTTAAAGCGCTGTCTTTTTATTCAGTCCATCACAATTCTTATCAATTGGAAAGGGAAAGAAATTGTATTGGGTATGTATAAGGGCAGAAAGGAAGCAATCTTTTATTAGGCTGGAGGAGTGACCATTTCAGAAGCTGCATAGATTTGGTCTGAACAGACAAGTGAGCTACAGGTAACAGTTCCAATTCACATCACTGGAATGAAACTTAATGCAGTGCCATAGGCTCCACTCTACACAAAATAGATGGGTCTTCAATCAGAAAGTCAGTACACTGACCAGGAATGTCAGACATACTATATGTGTTCACTCACTTTCCATTTATGGCTTAATAATACTTGCATTGGATATTGCGTTTTCATGTTTTCTAGACATCTCAAAGCGCTCCACAAAATATACTGTAAAGTGAATTGAAGTGGACGAAACCAGCAGCCAATTACGCACAGCAGTGTCCCACAAACAGTCGTGGATTGAAGTAAGGAAACTTGCCCAAGGTTTCACCCTGTGAGGAATTGAACCCAGGTCTCTCACTTGCGAGCGAGTGCTCTAACCATTGAGCTACAGGACTCCTAATGAGGCAACTCTGCACACAACATGTCCCCTTTAAACTGTGAAAAGGAACGGTCAACATGATTGCAGGATTTATTGTGCAAGTTTATCTGCTTTGCACAGTTTCTGCCTCTTGCAACAGCTCACTTCCCTCAGAATAGAGGGCTCCAGCATACAGAACTGCCAAACAGCAGCTAATGCTTATCAACGTGCTTTGACACCAGAGTCCAGAGAGCCTTAGAAGTTCTGCTGGGGTTAGTGCAATTAAGTTTGATGGATGGCTTCTCTACATACTGTAGGTGCTCACATTAAAAAGCTTTTGGAAAATGAAGCCATGTTGCAATCCAGCAGCTATGTAGACATAATAAAGTGCGTCGTCACCTGTACTGGGAACAGTCCCAAGCACAAAAGGAATAAAATAACTGATCTATAGATCAGGTCATTTCCCAGGCTTCAGGCCAACACCTTTCATACTAATAAATCCAGACTAAGATTGTTTGTTTTTTTGTGTGTTTTTTTTTTAAGTTGGGCAAAAAAAAAGGCAAGAGAAAGATTGGCTTTCGCTTGACAGAAATTGATGAAAGCAGAGGTCTCCCTCCCAAGTGCGAATTCCATATGATCCTGAAATCTAAATAACAAAGTTGATTTGAATAAGATTGGTTATTAAATATCGCCGGTTCACACACACACCTCTTTTATTTTCACTTTTTGCAATTCATCAAAGAGATTCCGAAATTGCTCGGCTGTGACACAGTCATGTGTAAATGCCTTTGTTTGCTGTGAAAGCAAGAGAGTGTTTATCGTCGTCATCATCATCAAAAGAAAAACAATCGTCAGAGGACAAGAACTGATTAAGAATATGCAATAAATGTGCCGAATCCAGGACTTTTTTTTGGGGGGGGGGAGGCGGGGTGAGGGGGGAGCAAGCAAGACTTTCAATTCCAGAGTCAGAATTCTTTAATCTCTTCACCTGGAAAAACTGGCCACTTGCTTCTCAGACGGCCGGGCCTCTGTTCTCTGTCCCGAGAGTTTGCAATTATTTTGAGAACCAGTCGAGTCAATTGTTAACTAGATTACAGCAGTTGCCAGGATTTTAAGTACATCTGCCAGGTGTTGGCGCATTTGGAGGCACAGAATTTACGCTTCTACAACAGCATCCTCTACTGGCGGGACACGAGCACCTTCATCAAGAACGGTTCATCGGCATCCTCGCGTTCGATACAGCTCCTTATCGCGTCTTCGAGACGTTCTCAAAGCGCTTCACGGAATATACTGTAATGTGAATTGACTTGTGCATTTAATGGGCGATACAAGTCCTCTGCCTCAACGTTTCTGGCTTCCCGGTTGAAGGGGAGTGGGATAAATGGAGAAATAAAAAATTCCTTTGTGGAAATGCACAATCCACGAAAGAAACTCTTCCCCCGTTCAGAAGTAATAGCCAAAAAATAAACACAAAATGGACGTGGATAAATGATTCATCCTTGAACATTCAAGATTTTTGATTTAATGCTCCTCCTTTTCTTCCTAATTCAACAACAAAATGGGACTCGAAGTACTCAAAATAATAAAGTTCTACACAAAGCAGACCAGTCCATTACCTTGATCATTTCTTGCTTGTGGAAGGATGGCATTCCCGCTTTCTGCAAAACTTCCAGCACTGTAGTGGTGCTGACAGTAGCTCTACTGAGACCAAAGCAAAAAGCAAATAAAGAAATACAATGAATGAATTGCATATTATTCTTCAAAATATTTGTCTGTTTCCCAAAAAATCAGCTGTCGTCCTCGCTGCTCCTCATGCAAGTTTAATGCACTGATAAAGGTTGCACTTGAAATCCACAGAAAATTCAAATGGTGTAAAGGAGCAGGATGCAAGATTTACTACAACCCACAACAAGTGCTGAAAAATCCATGCTAAAATCATACAGTAACATCTTAACTGTTGTTGGTTTGTGAGGACATTCACTCAAATCTGTAGAGAAAGATTTGGGCATGAGATGCTGTATAATAAGAGCGTTGCAGGTTTCTGCACGCTGTACAAGCACAGTGATATTTACCATCACATTAAACATCAGCCTTTATTGATTCACTTACATGTGTCCGTTTACTCCAGCTTTGTTTGAACACTCGCAGCAAAGCACCTCAAAAGCTGCTCGAATTCCTAAGCTCCGACGAAGGACGGTGTCCTGAACAGATCTCTGTAGACACAGATCACAAGAAGTCGTTTTTAATAATCCTAATAACTCTTTTTTTTTATTATACTTTATCACGTCATTGAGAGATCTGAAAGTACTTCATAGGAGACGCTATAAGCTATAGCGACTGTATTTTGTAGGTAAACACAGCAAACAATTTGCACACAGCAATGTGCTGTGTGCAAAGGCTTACTGTCTGCATTGTACCACTACAGGGAAAATGAAAACTATTGGGGGGGGGAAAAAATACTGGCATGTGGAAGTCCTTCATTAATCAGTATACATCTCCTCTTGCCCCTGCACTAATATTAACATAAGGGACAGGAGACTCTACAGAATGCTCAGTGATTACTACAATGGGCTTGAAGTACACAAGTTTATTTTGCAGAATGGGGGCGGTGGGGGGAAAAAACTCAATTAAAACAGCCATAAGTTTTTTTTGTTTTAAAATCTGGATAGATCAAACATATTTGGTTAGGTTCACTCTCGTACCTTTCCACTTATCGCATAAAATTGCACGGACAGAACTAAATAGTTAAATAAATTATGACTAATTGGAAGCAGATAATAATGAAACCTCATGCCTTCACATAGATTTCCTAATTTTACCTGGATTTTATAGGTAGAATCTAACAGCTTGCAAAATTGGTAACAGCCACCTGATTAAAAAAAAATGCATGTATGACTGGAAGATTGTCAAATCTTGTTGTGGTTGTTGTTGTTTTCACTGTTAGATGTTAGACCTAATACAAGCTATTGCAACACTAACTCTCCTTTTAAGAAACTATCGTACAGACCTAGAGTACTCCTCAGCCAAGAGAGGAGCAAAGGACCAGCTCTTGAGGCTATTCGTAAGTGGCCAGCAGGTGGTGTGCAAACGTGTTTTTTTTATTAAAAAAAGACAATCCTAGAATTAAGCCACAATTTTGCTTTCCTGTAAATGAACGGGTCCGAAGGAGAAAACAAAAAAAATCCAAGTATGCTTGATTTTGAGCGGATGAAGGTAAATGAACACACACCAATCCAAACGTGAACCAAGTAAAACATCTCAACTCAAACTTAATACTTTGAGATGAATGTCTTGCATTCAATTGAAAAAAAGGTTAATTATCGAGACAACTTCCCTTCCTCACCCCCCCCCCCCCCCCCGTTACATTCTCGTCGCATATTCCATAGACAAACATGTAATAAGATGTTTTTCATAACTCTTTAATGATTCGAAACATTAAGAAAGAGAGCTTTATCCGAAACAATGACTTACGAGTAAATAACCACGAAATTGCTTGTAAATAATGGCAGTCAGGCAATTCATCAGCAAGTAAGTTCCTGAGGGGAGAAAAAGAAGTGCATTGTCAACATTTGGTTCACACTAAACATTTAGCTGCGTTTGTTCATTAACTACACGATTTATTTGCCTCTCTTTCAAAAAGAGCTTGGGAACAGAGAAGCCTCCTCTTTCAGAAACATTAAGTCAGTCAATTAGGAACAGCATCCAGAGAAGTCCATGCGAGAAGTCGGTTCACAGCAGGAGCTGGGGTTGGCAGGTAGGCAGGCCTTTTATATCAACGACATTTTCACTGTGCAACCAAAGGTTGAAATCTTACCAATAACACTGAAGGTGATGAAGAACAAGGCATAGCTTCTCTTTCTTGAATAAGCTGGGATCATTACTGCAAGAAAACAGTTACAAAAAAAAAGGTTTTTTTTAAAGCAGTGGAAAAATAGAGGGGCATTGCAGTTTGATACCCAAATACTGATTGAATCAAAGCTAATAAATGTGGCTCACTTGGGGTTCTGTCAGCCAAAATACTGACTTGCTTATTTCCCCAACTGTGGCCGTAAGTGCCGACAATTCAAAAGGATTTGATTGATCATCATAAATATTCTCAAAAGAGATTATCAAAGGCTGTTAGAAGCAACCAGAAGAGTGAGGATAGATGGGACGGATCATGTTGAGAAAAACGTCAGTGTGGGCTCGAAGGGGCAGAATGGTCCTTTTCTGTGCGGACGCATCGTATGATACGGTTACAACATTTCTCATCGTCATAATGAAATTGGCACTTTTGCTTTTCAGACGAGAAGCTAAACAGGGTTCTGGGGTTACGCAGTGTCTTGACGAGTGTAATAATGAAATGCTTTCATGTTGAGAAAGCCTGCAGGCACAGAAAGAGGAATCGGTGAAAGAGGTAGCAATAGGACAAACCATCGGGGTTGTTGGCAGTAGTTAGCAGCACCAGTAAGGAGGTCAAAGACTCAGGCAAATTCCGAAAATACATCCTCCATTCTCCATCCTTTTCATTGTCCTAAAATAAAAGATTTGAGACGTTAAAAAAAAAATCAAAGAATTAAAAAAAAGTCACTTTCATTTTTTTTGAGTCAATGTTTTTCCTTAGGGGGTATATATTAGCACAAAAGTACAACACAACAGCAGAGAGCTCAATGGAACTAAATTCCTATATGCACAAGACTGCTCCCTTGCTTAACAAAATGACTAAAATAGGGATTAAATGCACTTACTGACATTTCAAGAGAAAACTATATAACCTTCACTAATGTCAATACTAAAGCAGAGGTTCAAGAACAGTCAAAATATCAAACGGAACATTGTTTAAAATAAGTTTTTGTTCGATCCTGAATCAAACCAGCTTTACCTTGGATCTGGCGAACAACAGCATGCCGAAGATGGTGAAGAGCAGGACGTGAACAGCTAAAAGCAGTAGAACACTGTTTCAAAAACAAAATGAAAAACCAAAGTGTAAAGATCATTATTCCACGGGTTTAATCTAATGAACTAAGACAGCATTTGTCAAGGGTCACAATGAATGTGTAGATCTTGTTGATTTGAAATTGAGACCAGGCCACTGGAATCATTCAAGAAATGGGCTGAAGCCAGAATAGAAAGATAGTAGGGTGTAAGGACGAGATCAAAATTGTCCAAAGAGATTTTATCCAAAACTCTGACTTTGGATTTTTTTTTCTCTTTTCGGCTTCAACGATAACTATAGAAATAGCCACCTTTACACAACTACTTTACCAGGCGTTGCTTATGCCAAGATACGTAGACTTAATAAAACTGTTGGAAGTACACAAGTGGGAACCTAACCAGATACAACTTTTGCCAATAAACTACAAACAGCAATTCCCGCATCATGTCAATAAATAGCTTCATAAAAAGGCGGTAACCTTGCTACTTCTGGAAGTGTTCTTCTGAGGCACTTTAAAGTCTTCTTCATCAGGGAAGAGTTCTGGAGGAGGAAGAAAGGTCGCAGAATTCTTCGGACTCTGATTGTCTTTAACAAAAAACGAAGACGAGTTCTTAAAATCTCATCATTGCCATCAGGGCCCAGACTACATTTGTGCCAATTGCCTCACTAACAGAGGGAATAGGTAACATACTCTTTACGTATCCAGCCTTACCTCCTTGCAGATAAGGCACATAGAGACAGTCCAATCCAGAACGGAAAAAGTAAGCACAACGATATAGGCCATCAACCACCTTGTTTTCTGAAATTCTTCCCATCCAATTAAATAACTCTGTGAAATAAAAAGAAAATTAAAAATCGCATTAAGGCCAAATTACATGAAGGGCAAACTTTAACAACAGAAAGGCATTCAGTTTGAAATGGGAATTTTTTGTCTGTTAAAATGCCCTCACAGCATGGTTCAGTGTGTAAGTGCTCCCACATATGAAAGTAATGAGAGACCAGGAAAGCCACAGATTTGATCCGGACTCAATGATGAGGTGGCTGATCTCAAGAGGGGCCACAGTATGAGGCTATAATTGACTTTGTGCTCCATCAGCTAAGCAGGGATTAAAGAAACTTCAGCCTGAGTTCCTACTACTAGCAATATCCAGCGAGTAACGTTGCAAAGAACGATTTCAGGCAAGGACAAGATCGGGTTTGACTGAGATCCTTCTCCCCCCACCTTTCCCCATCAAAAAGAAGTCAATGGTTAATGTCGGCTCTCATTTCATCCCACCCCTTAATAGCCCATCAGTGATTAATGTCTGGGTCAAATCATCATACATGAACAATAGTCAAGGAGACAAGACAGGGTCAGAAACACTGCTGTCTTCATCTGCAGAAATTGCGCTGATGAAAGATTTTTCTCAGGTTAAACATTCAACCACTTTTTGAATGTTGTGAGCATTCGATAGCAAGTTTTTCAATAACAAATTAATTCAAAATAAATTGGAAAAAAAACATATAGCATTGCTAATCTCACCTTTATTGTTACATCTGTCACAAACAGGAGAAAGCAGATCACTTCAATACATTCAGTCAAGGTACAGGGGGGCTCCCAAAGCACCTTACGGTATCTGAGATCAGACGTGACAGTCAAGGACGAAGGCTTTTCAAAGAAGGCCAGAGCCAAGATGACAAAAATGGCAATGTTCAAAATCCTGTCAGAAGAAAGAAAGAAGTTTATGCTGCGAGCAGTTGATAATACAGTACCTGCAACAGTCGGGGAAACAGAAAACAACAATTTGCATTTATATCATGCCCTTCACACAGGGTAGCCTCCTGGAGGACGTTACAGTCTGTTCCTGTTCACCAGAGCCTCTGAACAGACACAATGCCAATTCAGGTAGTTAACTATGTGTGGATACAAACCGCAATGAGCTCGCAAATAAGTGTAATCTGTTGCATACTTTCAAGTAATAATAATCATCATAATAATCATAAGAATCAATAACTCATGCAAGGGGACTCAAAATTGTGCACTTTTTCAATAAAATTAAGCAACGGATCACACAAAATACACTTCAAAATATTTATAGGAAACTGGTGTTTAATTACGTCTAAGAATCCAACTTAATCATTCTCCATTCAAAACAGAATAAGTTGTAACGCAGAGTTGGGCAGCATTGAACATACAACTCAATTGGAAGCACAAACAGGTTTCTTTACACAGCAATCAAAGCAGCCAGGTTGAATTAAGAGTTGGGGTGACAGATGACAGAGGTTTATCAGGTGAAACATGTTATGAAATGTTGCTAAGAAAGGTGTTTAACACACGTAGGGAAAAGGACAACTTGGCAATTGTACAATGGGTATTCTGGAAGGACGAGATCAAATGATCCGAAAGAGCTGATTCTCTCATCAACTAATAAGACATTAGCTGATCATGTTCTCACCATTGACAAATCTTTGAGATGTAAAATCGATAAAGTCGTAGAGACTGGGAATCCACTCGATGATTTATGGAGCGGTACTGAAAAAAGCAATTAAAAAGGCCAGTCAGAGCAGCACATCTAAGGCGAACAGTCCTGAAAAGTTAGATCATTACAAAAGCGTTGCCATATGAAAGGTTCCATTTTCATGGGATCAGATTTGGCAAAGGTCCAACCTATGTAAACATACCAATTTTATTTCGTAATGGGGGAATAGTTTATTTGGAAGAAACATTTGTCCAATGAAACAACCTTATATGAGAAAAGAAATGGGGCACAACATATCATGGGCTCAAATCATATGAATGGGTTCAAATACACAACTGTGTGTTTGGATATTCTAAACCCACAAATGAAACAGGAACATAAGACCGGCAGCACAAGTAAGAAAATAAAGTTCAGTATTTTACATATTCTAATTTAGTGCACGCACACACTGGCCTCATTTCAGACTGGCAAAACCAATTAGGAATGCAAATACTGTACTTGGTAAGGCTTCCAGAAATAGATTTTTTTTAAAAAAACACCCACACCCACAATGAAGTAAGTGGCTGCTTTTCTCTTGGACACAGCTGGAAGTTAGTACCATTCTGTACAAATTTGAGAGATTATAGTCTGCAGCGGGTAATGCCTGAATAAAACTAGAGCACGATTCAGAATTGATAGTTTTATCAGCGTCTGTGTTGGAACAGATCAAAGTTCGGTCATTAATTCCACATGCCCAAGACATATTTATTGTATAATCTGCTTCAGAATACATGTTGAGCTGTGATCGTTTTGATTTTGGTTGGTTCAATTCATACTAAACCCAGAATTTATTAGTTCACGCTGCCCTTTCTCCTTCTAACTCAACTAAACAACCTCCTCCCCCACCTTAGGAAATCTTAAGGAGGTAACAGCAAACAGAATTTCCACATGTTCACTGGTGTTAAACAAGGCAACTTAGCAGTTCACATCAGCATGGGCAGCATCAACGAACTTCCCAGCAAGTTGACTGTCGGCATTACTAGATTATGCTTTACATACGGCTTCATCATTTTGAGGTGGAGTGTGCGTCATTCCACGGATGCACACGCCACCTCACCAAGCCAGTCAGGAACCTGGGCATCTTGTTCAACCCTCACCCTGCCCCCAGCCCCACCCCACACTCGGGTCCTGATCACCGACTGTTCAGTGCCTTGGAATGTCCTCCTGTCGAGAAAGCCGCTTTACAAATGTCATTTTGTTGTAGTTTGATCTGATAACTTAAGTCAATACACTTTTGTGTAACAGAGCAGGAAGCAAAAGGCTGATTACCAGGAAGTAAGACATTGAATGAGGAAGTAATATACTGAAGGAGTGGTTATTGCCTGTTCCAGAAGAACTTGTAATGTTTTTCCTCTTTTACATTACAAAATAGTTAAGTTACCACTAAATTATCCCAACTAAAGTGACCCAAAGATTCAATCACAACATTTTCAACTTCAATTTCTGAAACCAAATAAAAAGTTATTAAAGCCCATTCAAAAATGCAATTAGTTTGGATTCCAACATGAACATATATTCTCAATATGTATTTTACAGTTTCTAAAAAAATCTCAACTTACCTGTATTGCATCTTCAATGAATATAACAGCTTGCTGAATGTACAGGTCATCTATCGAAAAAAAGGTTCAGTTAGCATCTATTCCAAGATTCTTTATTACAAAAATTGGATTGCCTCTTGCTATCTATTTAATATTTGTGCAACAACAAGACAGCCATACCACGACGTGAAGTGGCACTCCAAGATGATACCTCCTGTGAAGTTGCTATATAAATGCATGTTGTTATTGTCACCACTGCCGATACAGAGCTCCCCCAACACCTTACAGGCTCTGGACTGTGAGCTCGAAGTCTCAAATGCCTAAACCCACAATCTTTCGACTCAGAGGCGAGATTGCTCACAACCGAGTTACCAGTCAGCCTGAATCGTTCATCCTCACGTGAAGAAAATGAATTGTACTATTACACGAAAAGGAAAAGAAATTTGCAGCACAAAAAGGCTGGAATTGCACAGTGAACGCTGAAAAAAAAGATAGGCCTCACCTGAACGGTCACGTTTTAATGCAAACTCACACCTGGAACATTAACCGCTCTGCAATGTCAGATTGGTGGATTTTTTGTTTCTTAGATTTTTTTTTCAACCGCTGACCGCTTCTAAATCTGCCAGGTAGTTTGTAGCCAACTAAGAATTTTAAACGTTCTTACCTGTCGAAGAGCAGCACTGCTTAGACCGAATGGTTATTATGACCATTGAGACTAGCACTAGTTTGCCTCCGCACAGAATCAGGTTATAACATTCACAGGCAACCTTTTTACTTGCGGAAGCAAAGGCTATTGCAACATCAGTCCTCGCAGGCGTTTCCTACCACAGCAGAGAAGCACATAGCCTCTACCAAAATAGCTTTTCCTTCGAGTCAAACATTCAAACCATTTAAAAGAAGTCACTGAAATAAATAAAGCAACGGGCTTTTGTATTACTTAAACATCTCTTATTGCAAAGGTTTGTACCCCCGACACACGCGGAAACTCATCACTGGGCTTAAAGTATCCAAACCAAACTGAGATTTCCATGCGTCCCACCTACACGTGGAAATCCCAAAGACAGATTGCTGTAATGGAATGTGCACTCTTTCCTTGGATGGACGCATCCTACTGACCTAATTCCGGAAACTACTAGGGGCAGGTAGGCAAGAGCCAAAGCTTGGGAGACCCCAGAGTGTGCGTTAGGATAACCGCTGGGAGTCTAACTAGTTAAAACCACACAGCTTGTCATTGAGAGCACTGCCTGGGAAGCTTTCCCTCTGTTTGTCCAGCTGGGAACACCTGACCCGTTACGGCTTTGGCTTGAAGGGTTAACAGGAGCTGAGTGGGAAGAGTTCCCTGCCCCCAACGAGTGGCCACAATAACATTAAATCACTTTGCTGCACGTTCTCCCCAGCTGCTGCGAGCA